AAAAAAAAATTAAAATTTTTTTTAACCTAAAATACCTTGGAATATTGATGCGCGGAGACAAAAAATGTCATCTCATTTTCAATGCATTTCCTTTAGCATATTTAAATCCAGTAAAATATTTTCTCAATATCTCGTTACACCATAAAAATAATGTTTATTCCAAATGTTTGTGTGTTAAAAAAAATTATAGCTAAGCACTTTACATTCTAAATAAATGGTTTTGAGTATTGAAAGTACTTTAAGGTGGCGTAAATTATAAAGCTTCTAGTTTTCTTTAACTTTACACTCTCAGCTAAAGTAACTTTTAAACTAATTCACTTTTCTACAAGGAGATAAAATTGAAGGAAAGGAACACAATCAAATACAAGAATTTTCCCTCTAGAAAGTCTTTAGGGAAAAAGTTTCATTGGATAGGGATTTCTTTTCTTTATAAGGTCGAAATTAGATTATCATTGATTTCCAAGGCTTTTCTCTGGAGTCAGCAGTATTTCTTATTTTTCTGTTTATTCGGCTATATTTTTTACAAGGTGTCAAAAAAATATTTTTTTCACAGTTGTAAAAAGCAAATGTGTTTGACTCAGATAACCTGAGCTTGCAATATTTTGAGATTTATAACTTTTATCCGCAAATTCAACAGTACTGAATCGATGATTCGAATAATTCTTCACACTAATTCACTATATTGGTTTGAAGATTCTTCGGGTCCTAATTCTAATCAGTTATTTGAGTGTTTTGATTTGAATTTAGTGAAGTGATTCTGAATTTTTATGAAATTTTTACTCTGATTTAAATAAATTCACTTAAATATATGAGAATTCTTTAAGTTGTGATACTAATCACACATATTTAAATCTTTTGATTTGAATTTAGTGAAGGGATTCCAATTTTTTATAAAATTTTTACTATGATTTAACTAAATTTACTTAAATATATTAGTCCGAAGAAATTCAAAGCAGTGATTCAAAATAATTCTTTTAATTTTTTGATTTATATGAATTGACTATTTTCTTGAAATATGATTATGAAATATATATTCATATGAATTGAATATTTTCTTGAATTGAACACTGATTTCACTAAATTTAGTTGAATAAATTGATTTGGGTTGGATGTTTTTCAAATCTGGATTCAAATCAAATGTTTTTATTTCGAATTATGTGATTTCAGTTATTTATTATCGAAATAAGTGATCGAGGAACACTTTGTGTGACAACATTTCTAAGATAGCAGGTTTTAAGTCATATCGTATAATGTTAAGCAGTTGCTTAACATTTAGTTATGAGTTAAATAGTGTTTTGTTATCATATTTAAATTCTTGTATTTATATATCTTATCAGTTTAAATTCACAATGCAAGTAAATTTGAAAAACAAAATTTTATTTCACTCTATCTCTATTTCAACACAAAGCACAAATGAATAACAGGTTTTTAAATATTTATTTATAGGAAACTACACATTTTACCATATACCAAGTTTTTTTTTACAGTTATAAATATTCGATATGTGACCTGTAATTAAGTTGCTTCCACATATTTTGTACTTGGTCTTTTTCTGCTTATACAAATTTTTTATTTCATGATCACTATTATCCTCCAACCTTACGCCATATGTTTTTTATGAGGTTTCGTTTGAGGCGCTGCTTATGCCAACAGTTCTGTAAGAATTTATCGCATTTTATGCAACATTAGAACCCATTGGCGGTGTTGATGTCTTATGCCACTTGTTAATACTGACAAGCGTATTTTTAAGGCTGGCTTCTTATTTTCCTGTGGCGCCATCTATTGCCAAACATTTTGCCACGCACATACGTCACAGCTTGCTTTGCAAGGAGCATAGACAGTGTGAAGCTACAAAATGCGTGGAAATAATTTAATCACAGATTAAACTCTTGAGAATGGAATAGGCGTCTTAAGGTTGCGCCATTTCCTCTCTCTGTTGCAATAATTTCGTTGAGAAAATCTTCAATCTATTTTTATCTATCTGCAAGTTTTTGTGGTAACCATGGTTACGGAGACGGTAAAAGTGAGGAGATAGGGGAAATATCGTTGCCCACGGACGCCTATTATATTTACAAAAAGTATAGCTGTGTTTTTAAGAAGAAAACTTAGTATATTTTTTATCAATTTTCGTTGATTACTTGTTGTAATATCTGTAGTAGTTTCGGATACATAAATATAAGAGATGCTAACTTTCTCTGGTTAGTGGATAAATATTTTCGAGTGGTGGACTTTTAATATACGATTCTTGGTTTAGTAAATTCGATTTGTAGGATTTTTGCTCACCACTGCTTCTAAATAATTCCATAGCTTTTGTGATGCGCCGCTTTGTAACAGTTTAGTCGAGCGTTTAAAAAATTGGCATAATTGACCGAAAATCTGCAAATTTCAGTTTGTAGTTCTCTACCGCTTTTTAAAATATTTTACGAATCTGGAGCAGTTAACATCTCTGAAATATCAACTTAAAAGTAAATTTGAATCTGAATATTTTTTAAGGGTAACGTTGTATTGCATCTACAGAAAAAAGTTAACTGTCTTGATTTTGTTAAAAGCTATAATTAAATAAAAGACTGCAACTTCAAAAAAATGGATCGAAGTTTAAAATATACTTTTAAAGCAAACTCTGATTTTAAATTTAATCAAGAAAGCAACTTTTACTTAAATTTTTCTGGAATTCTATTTTTAAATGTCAAAATTCATCCAATTTTTTTTTAACTTTTGACATCATGTCAGTAAATATTTTTTCAATACTTACCTTTTTTTTTACTTTTAAATTCTATACTTTAAAAAAATATGCTTCTTAAAAGAAGAAATAAAAGTTTTCCTTAAAATGTCTCGGAAAGTAACATTAATCCGTGTAGATATACGTCAATCCTTTACTGGATTTTTCTACATTTTACAGTTACGAGTTTCCAATTTTCTGATACATCATAAGTTCTTTCACGAACGGAAAATTGGAAAACTATATAAATATATACAGGAAAACTAAGAAAACTGAATTGAAAAAGAATTTATACTTTAACGGTTTTTTAAAAAAAATTTTAAACTTTAAACTTTCGTATAAAGTTTTTAGCATACTTTAGCTTGGTATTTTGCTATACTTGTATATTTTAACATAATACACATGTGCTTATGTTTAAAATATACGTATTGTATTAAGTTTAAACAATTGTATTTAATAAGTTGTACTTAATAGAGTATGTACAAAAAATTAAAATGCACCTTTTGTATTTTTTTAATTTAAATTATAAAACATTTTGGATCAATAATGTTGTGTCTAGAAGAAAATAATGCCGAGTCCTAATTTAAAATTAATGATTTCAATTGGCTATTCTAAACTATTACTTTATGTCAATTAATGTAAATCATTTATTATAGTCTGTAATTAAAAATTGTTTGAAAAAGTGATTTGAATTTATGGCTGTTTTGAATCCGTTTTTAATTTGAAACATTTGTAAATCAATGGTACAAATAATTCAAATGAATAAACGCTTCTATTCTATTTTTTTATTTTGGATCACTTTATTTGTACTAATGGTTCAAATCAATGAGTCTAATGTTGTTTTGCTAAAGAGTTCGAATGTTTTTATTCATTTCATTGGAATTGAAATAATAGTTTCTTTGAATCACCAAGCAAATCATTGAAAATTATCTTTTGAAATAATTTGTTTCAAATCCGCAGAAAATCTAATTCTTTTTTATTTAAACAACTGTTTATGTCTAATTAAACAACAGAGGATTGCTAGATTATTTGCAGGTTTAATTCTGTCCAAGTAAGAATGTACTCTAAAAAAAGTTACTTGCCTTGCTTTTAAGTAACATAAATTCAAGCAAACAAGTTTTTTTTTGGATTTTTCAATAACTGTAAATAGATAAACTAACCTTTTTGAAACTATATTTGAGCTAAACCAGCTATGTCTATTGCTCTTTGAAAAATTAATTTGATTGCAGTGGCGTTATTGTTCTTCTTTCTATGATAAACTTCTTTAAACCTGTTCTTCAGAAAACAATTTTTCCCTGCCATCTGTGGATTTTGTGCATGAAAGACCAAAATTAAAACGAGGTACTAAAACCAAGACGTAACTTTATTTTTTCACATAATTACGAAGTACGTTGAGGCAATTAACATGCCTCTTTATCGGCTTTCAGGAGGAAAAAAAATCAGCTCTCTGCAATAAGGTCGAACGGCTTGTTTGACTTCATTGCTTCCAAAGTATTTGCATCAGAGATTTTTCGTCTAAGCCGCAAAACAGATACAAGTCGCTAGGTGCGAGATTCTTCTTCTAAGCCGCAAAATCGATACAAGTCACTAGGTGCGAAATTCTTCTTTTAAGCCGCAAAACCGATACAAGTCACAAGGTACGAGATCAGAACTGGATGATCAAGGCGCTCCCAACTAAGAATTGCATTATGGTTTTGCTTTACCATGTCCGAGCTTTGCATAGTCATCCAACAAAAGAAAGATTACGAGAAGGCCAGGTATACCCTTTTTTTGAATACCATCCTTCAATTTTGGCAGGACGTAGCAATGATGGTTCCAACATCCAAAAGGTCAAGCGGAAAAAATCGGGGACCAGACAGGGCTTGCCAATTAGTCTCGTTCAACTGCTGTTCTGTGTTGTTATAGAGGTCCATCACTGATCAGTTACAAATAGCAACCAATAGGAAAACGTTTCTTTTCGGGTGTGAATATGAATTGTCCAATAGAAATGGGGCTGATAATCGTAAACTCAGAATTGGGTCGATTGTTGAACGCCGGTAATAAAATATAATCAAAATAGAAATGATAGGGAAGGGAACACATTTCGGACTCGAACTCTTAGTACACACATACCATTATTTGACCTTTAATAGTCTTCTTACGGTGTGCATTGTTCAGAATTACTTATCACAATACAGAATAACGTTGGCAATTTTCGCACTCATCAGTATAGGGAATTTTGTTTTCAAAAATTGTAATCCATAACTAAATATTCTCAATTTATTTTTTATTTTTTTTGCAGTGCTACAAGAAGAGCCATTGCGACAACCAACACCTTCTCCAGAAGACCAGTATGAGCCTCCAGTACCCCAATGGGCAATTGCTGTCATCGTCATTTGCGCAGCTTCCCTCATCTTTATCGTTCTATTCGCAGCGGTCACGGTTAGTTCTTTAGACATAATAATAATTTTTAAAATTTCAGAAATTGAAAAGGCTCTGTTACAGTTATTTTTGCTAACTGCAGTTTGTCTGGGAGATTTTTATTCTGGAGAACAGCTGAAAATGTGCGTTTAATAAAATGGGTGCAGCTCAAAATGCGCGCTTGATAAAATAGATGCAGCTATAAAAGCGTGTTTAATAAAATGGATACAGCTATAAAAGCGTGTTTAACAAAATGGGTGCAACTGAAAATGCGCGTTTAATAAAATGGGTGCAGCTCAAAATGCGCGCTTAATAAAATAGATGCAGCTATAAAAGCGTGTTTAATAAAATGGTACAGCTGTAAAAGCGTGTTTAACAAAATGGATGCAGCTCAAAATGCGTGTTTAATAAAATTAACACAGCCTTTTCAATGCGCAAGCCAAATTAAAAAAAAACCTAAACAAGGAAATTCGTATTTACTTTTATTTACTTTTTTATCAGGAAGCATACTCATTATGGGTCTAAATCCTTGTCTTCAGGATCGGGATGACTGGTTATATTACAGATTCTATATAAAACTATTCAGGCGATCTCTTCGTAGTAACTCTAGATGATAAAACAGTTTTTAAAATCCAAATTCGTACAATCTTAATTTAATGTCACTATTATAAATTGATAGGATCCATGACAAGCTAATAAAAAAACTGCTTGCATATCAAGTCTTTAAAAATAAAACTTATTCTAGAAAATATACTAAGGGTAAGGGATGTAGGAAAATACACGACATTGCATTACGAATTTATTTGGATTCATTAGTAAAATGTTCAGAAAAAGAAGAATTTTCATAAAGTTAGTTTACAAACGAAATAAATTTTTTATGCCCTTTTTCTTTAACGCGCACTTTGAGCTGTGATCATTTTCTTTCAGAAGCATTTAGAGCAGCGTCTAGTTTCTATAACACGCAATTTGAGCTGTGTCTTAATTAAAAAGCTCATCGCCGATGTGTTTTATAAAACTAACGAGTTGTTCCATACAATTTATTTTGGCGAAATGTGCCGTAGTATGCTGCATACTAAACATTTATCTAAACGCTGCTCGAGTAAATTTGAAAAAAAAAAAAAACCTAAAGAAAAATATGTTTAAAAAGAGAATAATTATTTAATATGCTTAGTAAGAATAAATAATATTGAACAAAACTTACATTTTTAAATGTTAATTTTTCTCCCCCAGTAACAGAAACCTTCCAGAGCAGCTGTGGGCTCTGCATTATTATCATAACGTCTGCAAATTGTTTTTCATCTAAGTTTTTTTTATTTTTAAAAAGCAAACAAACAAATAGGAGAAAATGAGTTTTTCTATCTCTAAACTTGTTTCGAATGAATATTAAAAAGCTGAACTGAGAGAACATCGCTAAGAACGAAAAGTACAAATTTTTTTTTAGTTGATTATTCAGATTTAACAATAAATATTTATTTGTTCCATTTCTTAGGATGATTGTATAAAATTCAAATTAAATTTCAAAATCATAACGTTTTTGTGTATAAATTTTACAAAAATTGTCTAACTGACTGTGTTGAGTGCACAGGCAAATTTAGATTTATGAAAATAGTACTGACGATTCATTCCGTAATAATAATCTCTAGCATTTAGCTTCGATTTCAAAAGTCAAATTTTAAATGGATGGGCGTTTTCTAAACTAGGGGGCGCTGCTGGCTTTTTTACCGTCCATATTTTTTGTATCAGGTGTATTTTGAGATTATATCTGAAAAATGGTTGTGATTTCTATGCTCATATGCTTGCTTAATAATTTTTTTTCTCTATATTTAGATGTATGGTCGTCACCATATGCGTCGAAGGTATGGCAACAAATTGAATGAGGAAGATCTGGACAGATCTTCGGGAGAGTGGGAAAGTAAAATGACAGCAGCCTACGAAAATATGGCGGCTGACACTATATATGAGGCAGAAGACCTCAGAGGCGACACCTACAAAAAAGTATGTGAACTTTCATTTATTATTTCAGTTTGTTGTTAGTGCTCTTTTTCAGGAACTTTTCGAGGATACTAATCCGTTTTTCTAAAGATAAAGAGACCCGTCTCTAGTAAAAGACAAAATTTTTTGCCCTTTACGAGTAGCTGAGCACAAATCCCGCCAAATATATTTTTCCGTCTTTTTTGGTAACGTTTTAGAACAACTTCCACTAGTAAATAAAAAATAAGTAACCGTTATCAAAATTAAACCCACGGTTTATGTGGTTTTCCTATCCATGTAACGTAAATGCGGGTTAGTTCTATCAGTAACACCTCCATGAAGGTAAATTTGTCCAAATTCTTGATCCAGGAGTTTCCTTGTCTGGTTTGTGTTCATAGTTACATGGTAACAGAGTTATCAAACCTCTATAACTAATATTAAAACATTGAGAGAATAAATTAAAAAACTGTTTAAAACATAATTCGATCAAAAGTTATAAACAGGAAATACTAGTTGAAATGTTTCAAGCCCTTCAAAAACAGGCACCCATTTTCAAGACTTTCCAAACGTGAATGTAAGGAAACAGAAGTGATTTGAAATAAAAAAAAAACATAAAGTTACATACAAAAAATGAAGGCGAGAAACAAAACAAGAAAACCACAGTGTCCGAGAGAGAAAAAAGATGAAAAGCAAAACAAGAAAAACCACAGTGGTCGAAGGAAGCAAATCAGAGTAAAATGCATTTCCACGTGCTATGGAGAAGTGGTAAGGAACTAATGTCGTTGACAAAGAAATCAGTAGTCATATGAATAAAACAAGATTCCAGGGCATCAAGACGAGCTGATGTGACTGCGATTAAAATTGAATTTATGTACAAGATTCCAACAAAGTGCAGCAACTGATGATTTTACGTATTCCTTAAGTCTAAATTTTAAAGCACGTCTGATGTAGCCAAGGTCGCACTGTCAAAGAATGTGGTAAATGCCCCAGTTGTTATCTAATCTGATAGGATCTTTATGAGACTTAAATTTGATTTTGTTAACAGAAGCATTTGCTGTATCAATTGTAGAGGGTTTCATACCACCATTAGAAGCAAGCGGGCTGTGGAAGTTAAGTTAGGAGTTTGAAGAAGATTCAGAGCGAAGTTCAAGTGTGTGGAAATCGAACGTATGAAATGCAGAAACTTCCTGACAATTGGAGTTGGAGTTATTAGAATAAACATGAGGGGGCAAAGAGATGGTAAACTTTTTACGATAAATGCAAGAAAGATGGAAAAATGATCAGGATGATAAAGATGGAAAAATGATCAGGGTATTTCGTCGCAAGAACATCTAGTAAAGTAAAACTAATTTCCGTGTCTAAAGTAAATTGAATGTCGGGGTCAACTGAAAGTAACTCATTAAAATCAGTATCACTGTCTACAAGGACAAATCTGTATCGCCATCATATATTTTTCTACCACGAGAATCCGAACAGTTTAAAAACTTTTTCTTCCAAATAATGCATAAATATGTTACGAAGACTGGGAGAGAGGGAGTTGTCCATGGGTAAACCCTTAATTTGTTTAACGAAATTACCATTGAATTGTAAAGTAATTCGCTAAATACAGGAATTGACAAGGGAGATCTTCCGTTTCAATAAAAGTGTAGGGAAATTATTGCAGCTGTGGTTTAAAACAATAGCACTATAAATGAGGAGCAACATCAGGAGAGTGCATAGTTTTGTTGGATGATGAAAGATGTGCTTGTTGGGTAACAAAATCATGGAATTTTTTAACAGCATAGATATTGTTGGAAGTTAGAGGTGAGATGATACGCACTAAATATCGAGAAAGTTTATAGCAGGGGTTATCAGTATAAACTTAAAAAATTTGATTACTATAACCATATCAAGAATATGTTAGTCTCTTACCCTTACAGAATTTTAAATCTGCCCTACTTTTTCTCATGCTACGGCTATTAAGAATGAAATTAAAAGTTCTTCTACTCTTTCAAACTATACTGAACATAATTTCATTCATTCTATTTCAAATTTTATTCGTTTCTATGCCCTTCCTAAAGTTCTTCAGCGCCAAATTGCTTTCAGACATATTGTATCAAAATTTGATGTCCTGTGTTATAAGTCTGCTCAAAATTTATCTCGTATTACCGCTCATTTCCAACAATATGCATGCTGTTAAAATTCCCCTTCCAACTAAAGCTCTTTCTCTCATATTACAAGTTAATAAATTGTACGAAATTATCATGGTAATGAAGAAATGTTGACGTTACGTTTTTCATAGTAGACAGTGATACTTATTTGAAAGAATTAATTTCTATCGACAACAGCAAGTAATCCGATTCAATATACTTTAGAGGCGAAAATTAATTTTACTTTTTTTTAGATGTTCTTGTAAATAAATACCTTAATTATTTTCCTTCTCAATTTATCGTAAACATATTACCATCTCTTTTCTCTCTCATGTTAATTATAATCACCCCAATTGTCAGAAAATTTCTGCATTTTATGCTTTCCTCTCTTAACCTTTGCTCTGATTCTTCTTCTCCAAACTTAACTTCCTCCGTTCGCTTGCTGCTAAGAGTGGATTTAACCCTCCTACAGTTGATTCAGCTTTTGGTAAACTAATTAGATTCGAACCTTTATTTTTCATGTTTCGTTCGCAACTTCTGTTTCTTCTCATTAACGTCTGGCAAGTCTTGAAATTGGGCGCCTGTTTTTGAGCGCTTGAAGCATGTCAACTGTTATTTCCTATTTATATCATTTTGAAGTGAATGATGAATGATGTTTTTAATCAGGTGAAAAGTCTATTGTTAATCTAAGTTAAAGTCATTAAAAATAATTAAGCAATAGTTTTTTATATTCTAGTGTACTTTCTCTGCAGTCAAAAATGTTATTACTGTATATGCCTTGGTACTTACTAAATACATAAGAAATATATCTACAGTCTTTAAAAAAGCTTAGAAAAAAACTTCCTGCCTAAATTTTCCCTCATATTTCCTAAGTGCTTCATTCCACGTTTTATTTTATCGCAAAAAAAAAAATCGTTTTTTCTCCCTTTCTAACGGCGACCGTATCTAAATTAGGAAAGTTTTTCTTTTACATTTAAAACAGCTATCAAATCCCTTTAAAATATACGAACAAGAGAATCACTAAAAGAAAATGTTTAAATTTTTTCCTCCCTACAATGTGCCCCTATCTGATTTTCTAAGTTAATTGAGTTGTGTTAAATCCAACATAAGGTAAATGGATAAAAAGAAAAATCCCTATAGTAAGGGAAAAAGTATTTTGCAATGGTATCTTTTAGTTTTAAATTGCAATTTATTTAATGTTCTATGTATTTCGTTTAAATACAATAATATTTGTTCTTTTACTTGCAGTCTTCGTACATAATGGATTAAGGTTTGTATATTACATAAATTTGCTTTTAAAATTCTTTAAAATAGAAGTTTAAAGCAATTTCACAATTGTATTTAAATAAGTCTAAAGAACAAACTTTATATGTTATCAAAAGTCATTATTCTGAGCCCCGTGCTTTAAAATAATAGAAAAACATTACACTTTAACTCATTTTATCCAGATTTTTTTTATATTGATGTGATACAGAAAATGCCATTAATGAAAAAGTGGTAATGATATTAAATTTAAAGGTCTTTGTCTATTGTTCACCACCATTATATTTCAATAAGTCTCCGTTCCTTATAATTCTAGATCTATTGATAGATAATATCTATATCATTCATAAATTATAGCGGAATGTCAATCTTTTGATTTTCCTAGACAAATGAGATATTGAAATAATTGTTCTACAAAAAATGCCATTAATCTTTTGATTTTCCTAGACAAATGAGATATTGAAATAATTGTTCTACAAAAAATGCCATTAATGAAAAAGTGGTAATGATATTAAATCTAAAGGCTATTGTCTGTTGTTAGCCACCATTATATTTCAATAAGTCCCCGTTCCTTATAATTCTAGATCTATTGATAGATAACATCTATATCATGCATAAATTATGGCGGATGTGAATCTTTTGATTTTCCTAGACAAATAAGGTGTTGAAATAATTGTTCTACAAAAATAGAAATTTTTGTGAGCGATGTTTTATTTTTTATCTTACCAAAATATGTGTTCTGCCCTATAAATAATACCCTGGGTGCAAACTGGATAAATAACTTCTGATCTAATGCTTGGAATTTTATGCGGGTTTTCTTAAACTTTAAGGAACCTATCTGATATCTGCAGTTTAAAATAAATTTGGGTTTGGAATTATTATGAATATTTATGAATATTATAAGACGCATAAAAATGATTAAAAATTCATATTTTATATAGAGACCCATATTTGAAGCCGATAGGATACCGGTGTCCATTTTATGTACTGTTTTCCAACGCTCTAATTACACGTAAAAATATTTTTTGGTATTTTTAATTTAAAAAAAGTCCTAACCGCTATTTAAAAAATCTGTTAGATTATATTTGTACTAAAATATAAAATCCAAAAAAAGTTATATTTTTCCATTTATATTCAAAAAATCACCAATAATTGATTTTGTTAATTAAAGAAATTTCAATGATAAAAAACTGTTCCGCTTAGATCTAACTCACTGCAAATAAGTGCAAGTTTGAAAAATTATCGTTTGGAAGTAAGCCGAGTTTGGAAGATTTTACTTTTAACGCAGAATAAGACACTGGTGCTGTATTACATATCCATTAATTATTAAAATGCTAAGTATTATATTTTTCATTTACTCTGACCTAATTTAATACAAAATAATGAAAAATATGTTTTAATAAAAATTCTGCGTCTAAGGTTTAAAGGGAACCCAAAATTATGAAGGTCTGCAGTTTTCAAAGTCTTGTGGAATCATTGCTCCGTCATTTCGTTTTAAAAAAATTTCAAATTGAAAAAAACCGTTTAGAACCTTATTTAGTTTTCGAAGTCTAGTAGAATCATTGCTCCAACTATTCGTTTTAAAATTTTTCCAAATTGAAAAAAACCATTTCGAACCTTATTTAGTTTTCAAAGTCTAGTGGAATCATTGCTCCGAGATTTCGTTTTAAAATTTTTCCGAATTGAAAAAAACCATTTCGAACCTTATTTAGTTTTCAAAGTCTAGTGGAATCATTGCTCCGAGATTTCGTTTTAAAATTTTTCCGAATTGAAAAAAACCATTTCGAACCGCAGATGGCGTGAACAGGTACAGATACGGAAAAATATTTTTTTCTACCATATAGAATTGTAAATACAAATAAATATATAAATTATTCTTTAAAGACTTATTGAAATGTGCTATTTTTACAGCAAAACCGTATCGCAACATTTCATGGAATACCTTCAACACTGAAGCGTTGCGACAGTTGGTCAAGCGGCGGCTGGTCCACCCCACCGAGGCGAAAAAAGCCTCCCCACGTCCACTGAATATAGTTATTTTTCACCTGCATTCTCAAACATTCCAACAATAACAAAAAAGAAACTGTTTTAAAACTTCAGTGATTGTACTGCAGCACGGGTTATTTAAGTAGGCTGTATTATAATGCTTTATTCAGAGGGCAGTTCAGCAATATTACTTTTCCAACGTATTTTGTGATTAATTATAAATTGCAATCTATTGCAAGTAAATAACTTTAGAGTGTATCATGTTTAAAAAAAATAAGCAAAAATAACTTTTTGAAAAGTTTCTGCTCTTCATATTGTTTAAAAAAAGTTTTTTTTTTTTTTGAAGAGAAAACTAATACGTAAGATGTATAAAAATGTATTTAACCATTTTTAAAATTATTTTTTTTATTTTATAACTATTTCTGGAAATAACAGTTTATTAGGTTATTCGTTATTTTTGATAAATTTTTGAAAACAGCTACATAAAATGCTGCTAATTCTTTCATGCGAAATTTTGCGTTTTAAAAATTAAAGCACTTTATATTAATAATTTATTTGCCTAAATCATTTATATTCTGGAAATAAGTTGTTTATTATTTTTTTTTAAAAAATTTAATACCTTTTTTCTAAACTGCTACACAAAATGCTGTTATTTAATTTATGTGAATTTTGTGTATTTAAAAATTAAAGCACTTAATTTTAATCAACTTATTTTTATTTGCTTTATCTTATACAATATAACTGTTTGTAATTTAAAGATTTTATTTTTCATTATAACTAATTTTAATACAGAATATAGTTGCACGAATTTAATAGTATAAGTATTAAATTGCTTTCCGCTTATTTTATTTATTACAATTAATTTTTATATTTTTTAATCAGATGAAATGTTTTTCACAAAAAATGTTCTTATATGTATGTATTTTTTTAATAATATCGATTATATTTTATGTGATTTCATGCTTATGTTATATAAATATATATAATACTGCATTGATACTTTTCAAAAACATTTAATTTTAAAATATACTTAGATTAATGCGTTATGTAATTTTTGCTGAAAGTTCTCTGAAATGCAGTTTTGATTACTTGTAAATATTGTAGATTATTATAGATCTTTCACCTGCTTATGTAATTTGTTTGACCAGTAACGCCATCTGTTAACAGACAGCACTGTATATTTAAAAAAAATAACTTATATATGTTCTCTCTCTGTTTTGCAATATTAGGTGAAAAAGCTATTCAGAAATTATGTTTTTTTTTCTGATACATTTCAATGCTACTTCGTCGCTTTTTGCATGTTGAGCAGCATGTGCATGTGTTTAAAATGTTTTGATTCAACATATTTAAGGTTAAGAAATCAAACATTTATTTTATGTTTTTCACAACGATACTATGTATGTTAAATCTCACTTGCAAAAGCTACATAACTTAAGATGTAGCACAGTTTTTGAACTGTTTTTTTTTCTAGTCATGAAAAATATGTTGAACATATTTTTTGGATTTAAAGTGTGAATCTAATCATTTAACTTTCCTGGTGTAACGATTTTTAATAGTTTACTATTTCATGTGTAAGAAGTAAAGACTGTTGCAAAAACAATATTATGTTTTAATGAATTTTGAAGAAGACAATATGCTTCTGTGAATTTTGAACAAAATTCAATATGTTTCTGTGAATTTTAAAAAAAATCAATATGTTTCTGTAAATTTTAATAAAATTATTATGTTTGTGTAAATTTTGACTGAATCATCAAATTACTATGTTTTGAAATAATCACTGTTACAAAGAATTCTTGAAATCATATTTCCATGAATTCAAATAAAATTTGTTTCTATAAATTCAAATAAAATTTTATGTTTCATTGAATTCTGACAAAACTATTGTTTCAATAAGTTATGAAAAATTATTTTGTTTCCATGAATTCTGACAAACTAAGCTGGAATTTAACTCTCACAGTTTTTAATTGTTTACTATTTCACGCATAAGAAGTAAAGACTTATGTTGCAAAAAACAAAATATGTTTATGTGAATTTCGAAAAAGACAGTATGTTTCTGTGAATTTTAATAAAACTTATATTTCGACTATGAATTTTAACTGAATCATGCTAAGTGTTTTGAACTAATCATTGTTTCGACGAATTCTTGAATTCATGTTTTAAAAAAATTTCTATAGATTCAGATAAAATTTCGTGTTTTTGACAAAACTATGATGTTTCCATGAATCCTGAAAAATTAATTTTGTTTCTGTGAATTCTGAAAATTGAGATGTACTTAATTTCGTAAATAGAAAAATGAATTTCATTAGTTCTGCTTAATCATAGCAATTATTTATATTAGTCTGAAACTATCACAAATGTAATTACTGATTAATTTCTAGCTAGGTTTTAAAAAAGTGCAATTTAAGGTTTTAATAAAAGAATAATTCTATAGAGCTATTCAAAGTGTGCTACTTTTCGCGCAAAAGGTGCTAGGAAATGTACAAAGTTTTGATTTTTGGAGCTTTAAAAATAAAACGGCTTAGAGAATCGTTATTTTATTTCCATTGAATTTATACTTATTGGAATAGGAGTTTTCACATTTTATTAAAAGCAATTTTATAACTAAATTTCTGGTTGAATATTTACTGATTTTCAGAGATTAATATCAGGAATTGAATTTTCTCTTATAACTTAAATCAATGCTTTGAGTATACTTAATTATGCATTATTGCATGCACTAATAAGTTATTGTAAACTAGCATTGTTTTGATGCCTAACTATTTGTGTATTAAATAGCATGATTTAGTTTGTATTGATGGTAAAGTATTAGTGTTGCGTTTCATTTTATATGCAGAAATTTTTATTTTACTTCATTCTATCAACTTTTAATATAGTAAATACAAATCGAAAATTAATATGTTTGCTTACTCTTATAGCTGACTAGAAATTGGATTTACTTAATAATATAGAAAGTCGAAATTTTTTTAGAATTGTAACTTAATTCCTAGTTTACAGAAATATAAAATTTTATGAATTTACTATAGTCTATTTTTACATTTAAAACATTAGAAGTTTAGAAGAAGAATCATTATCAATTAGAAATATTTTCCACTTTAAGTCAAATTGGATACAATTATTTTAATCTAATATAAACCTTGTAAATATTGAATAATGCTGGATTGTAAAAAAAAAGTATGTGCATAGGATAATTTAGAGATGATAACGTTTTTTTAAGCTTGCTTCAGATGTTTACAACCAATCAATTTTAATATTAAATTATTTTCGGATTCATCATTCGTAAATAGTTTTCATTTCCGAAAATTTGGCGGACGCACCAAAATTTCTCAAAAATTCTAACCCTTAAATGAATAAATTTTTAATAAATAAAATTTGGAATTAACTGGAAAATGGGTGTAGTTAACGGGAAAAAAAGCATAAGAATTTTTTCTTAATTTAAAAAAAAGCAGTTTTATAATTGATGATCTATTATCATTAAGTATCTTGGTATTTTCCGGGGGCAAGCGAAAAGTCGCCAATGTCTGCCAACTTTTATTTCTATATTTCAAACAAATAATTATTAAATGAAATAAAAATATTAAGAAAAAAAAATATTTTTAAAAAATTGTCGAATTTCTTAGCTCCTGGCTAAAAGAGGCGTATCACAGTCACTGCTTGAATTATATATATTGACTGTGTACTATATATTACATATTTAAAACCTTTTTTTTTATAAATTATAGTTTTTAAACATAATTACTTTTTATATTTATAATCATAATTCGTATCCCTGCCGAAATGAAATCGTACCTCAGATTGCAGCCCAGCAATGAAAATTGCCATAGATAAAGAAATAAACTGTCAAATGACTCAAGTTGCAATCGTAAACAATAAAATAGCTTTGGTAAAATTGAAATGAAAAAATAAACACCATGCAGAAGTTTCTACGTAAAGAAATATGAGTTTTTAACTCTATCAAGACCATTTATTTGTTTTCCAATTGATCAAATAAGTTAAAAATAACAATCTGACAAAATAAAATAAAAAATTAACTATTTGGAGGGGAAAGTCTGGAACATGTGTCCCACTAAGTTTTTTAGACTGGACACATATGTCCCAAAGGGGTTTTCGTCTACAAGACATATATGTCCCTATGGGGCTGAAAGGGTTAAACATACAATGCACATCTATATCGCTATGCATTTAAGGGTAAAAAAATTTCCTCGGGTTTACTCAGTTTTAATCGTTTTTAAAATGCCGAATGTAAATGCGTGAGACGAAATAAAGTAATATTTAGTAAAATACTTCTTTTTTTTTCTACTGTTAAAAATCGTTTTTTAAAGAGGAAATATATTTTTTCAACATAATACGTTTAAGAGTTCCGAAAATGCTTCTTCGAAAATTTTTAAACACTTGTTATGCAGTATCATTTGCCTATAAGTATCGAAACTGACCACGAGTCTCTAATTTTTTTTTACCAGAATGTTTCTTTACCTCAATTTTACATTTAGTGACAGTTTTTAGCGTGCATCACTTAAGATTCTCAAACTGACACTAACCAGAACTTAATTTCGAAACGTTTAGGTTTTTATAAACGAAATAGTATAAAAATATTGTATATGGTGAGGTGGTTACTATAGGTTCCGATGACATGGTATGTTGAATCTTAATAATCCAATATTAAATAATGTTTGGTTGTAAAAAAAAAAGGTTTTGTGAATACAGGCATTGGAAGAGGTTAAAGTTTTTTAATCTTTGCTCCATACAATTGCATTTACTGTGTAAAATTTTCAAAAGGAATTATTTTTTAACAATCCATAGCTCGCAATATTGTGATGTATCGTGCATTTACATAGCATCTACTTAACCCAAGCATCGATGGCTATAACATTGCACGCGTCCTGAGAGCAATTTTGTGGCATAGAGATAAGTGTGTTTGCACTTAGCATAGGAACTATAATAGAGATTGAATTTGATTTGACAAAATACTCTATACATAAATTTGAATTGAATTTATGAGATACTTCGCGAATAAATTTGAATTGAATTTAACAAAATACTTTGCGAATAAATTTGAGTTAAATTTAACAAAATACTTGATGAATAAAGGAAAAGAAAGCAGTGAAAACGTCTATGAAAATAATTAAAAATTAAATTATGTACTTAAGAAATAGCTGCTTGCTATATCATTCCATTAAATTATTTTTCAGCAGTGTATTAAACTAATTCATAAATCATATGATTTGTGAATCATGGGCTTAGGTATCTTTTTTCTGCTCCGTATCGTGATTTGTTAAAACGCGATTTTACGGTTTATTTGTTTGAGTTAGGTATAATTTTCAGATTAACAACGCA